GAACTCAAAAGTCGAGAAGTCAGGGCCCTCTAAATCCCGCCCCCCTACTATGGGAAATTGTCGAAATTGATTTTAGGTCTGTACCAAATCCCTTTTGTTGCAGGTTGACAGTTGAAAATTAAAATGGATAAAATACCGACGGGTGTTGGAAAAACAATTTTGCACAGTTAGGGATCTTTATTGGAAACGTTTTGCCTACACAGTAGGTTCTTCAGTCAAGTCAGAAAAGTTTAGAAGCAGAAAATACTTGAAGCGATGTAATCAGCCATACCCTTAAAGTTTTGAGGGGGTAGTCCCCCTCTGGGAAGATATTGTTCCTAGATAAAAAATATGGGAGAAGTGACGGGTGGGGCTTTTATAGCCCAAGGGTGGGCTAGCCCCTAGGGGGTAAGAACTCAAATGTCGAGAAGTCAGGTCCCTCTCAAATCCGCCCCCCTTTACGTGGGAAATTGTCGAAGTTGATTTCAGGCTGACCAAGATCCCCTTTTTTGCAGTGTCTGACAGTGAACATTAAAAAGGTTTTTAAAATACCGACGGGTTGTTAGGAAACACATATCAACCGTTGGATCTTTTTTTGTGAAAACGTTTTTGCCACACAGTAGGCTTCTTTAGTCAAACAGAAAAGTTGAAGAACAGAAGAAACTTGAAGACGATGTAATCAGTCCTCACCCTTAAAGTTTTTAGGGGGTCAGTCCCCAGTCTGGAGAAAAGTATTGTTCCTAGTATGAAACAAAAGGGAAGAAGTGACAAAGGAGCTTTTTTTGCGCCAAAAGGGTGAACGTAGCCACTAGGAAGGTAAGAACTCAAATGTCGAGAAGTCATCCCCTCAAATCCCGCCCCCCTCACTATGGGAAATTGCGAAATTTTATTTCAGGTCTGTACCAATACCCTTTTGTTGCAGTGTCTGACAGATTGAAAAATTAAAATGGAAAAATCCCACGGGTTTTAGGTTTAAACACAATGCAACATTATATCTTTATTGAAACGTTTGCTACCAAATAGGCTCTTCGCAATACAGAAAAGTTGATAAAGGGGAACTTGAAGACGAGTAATCTCCCTCCCCTTAAAATTTTGAGTTTGGCGTCCCTCAGTTGGAGAAGATATTGTTCCCTAGTATGAAACAATATTGGGGAAGAATGACAGGGTGGAGCTTTTATACGCCAAGAGGTGAACAACCCCAGGAGAGGTAAGAAAATCAAATGTCGAGAAATCAGGGCCCTCTCAAAACCCGCCCCCTCACTGTGGAATTGTCGAAGTTGATTGCGGTCTGTACCAAGATACCCTTGTGTTTCAGTGTTGAAGATTTCTTAAAATGGGATAAAATCCGCGGGTTTTTAGGTAAACCAAATGCAAAAGTTAGGTACTTTATTGTGAAACGTTTCGCCTAACGTAGGCTTCTTCAGTCCCAATACAGAAAGTTGAAGAAGCAAGATACTTGAAGACGATTAATCATCCTCACCCTTAAAATTTTTTAGGGGGCAGTCCCTCAGTCTGAGAAGATATTTTTCCTAGTAGAAACAATATGGAGAAGAAATGACAGGGGGAGCTTTTTTTAAAAACGCAAGAGGTAGAGTAGCCACTGGGGGAGAAGAACCAAAGTCGAGAAGTCAGGGCCCTCTAAACCAGCCCCTCTAAAGTGGAAGTTGTCGAAGTTAAATTTGGGGCTTACCCAAAACCCTGTGTTGCAGGTTGAAGATTTAACTTTAAAAAGGGATAAAATACCGACGGTTGTTAGGTAAGACCTATCAACAGTTAGGGACTTTAGTGAAACGTTTCGCCCACAGTAGGGTTTTCAGTCAAATACGAAAAGTTTGATAGAAGCAGAAGATACTTGAAAACGAGTAAACATCCTCACCCTTAAAAATTTGAGGGGTCAGTTCCCCCAGTCTGGAGAAAGTATTTTCCATAGTAAAACAATATGGGGAAGAAGTGACGGAGGAGCTTTTACGCCAAGAGGTGAGACGTGCCCACTAGGGGAGGTAAGAACTCAAATGTCAGAAATCAGGGCCCTTCAAAACCAGCCCCCCAATAGTGGAAGTTGTCGAAGTTTATTGCAGGTATGTACCAAGATCCCTTGTGTTGCAGTTCTACAGATTGAAATTAAAATGGGATAAAATACCGACGGGGTTTTTAGGAAGACACATATGGGAACATTTAGGGTTTTTTATTGTGAAAAATTTGCCTACACGTAGTTCTTCATCAATACAGAAAAGTTATAGAAGCAAAGATACTTTAAGACGATGTAAACATCCCCCACCCAAAAATTTTGAGGTGGTCAGTCCCTCAGTTGGGAAAGTATTTTTCCATAGTATGAAACAAATGGAGAAGAAGTGACAGGAGGAGCTTTTATAGCGCCAAGAGGTAGACGTAGCCCCCAGAGAGGTAAGAAATCAAAAATCGAAAGCAGGTCCCCCTTTAAATCCCGCCCCTCTCACATGAAGTTGTCGAAGTTTATTGCAGGTCTGTACCCAAAAACCCTTGGTTTTAGTGTCCCCGACAGATTTAACATTTAAAAAGGGATAAAATACCGACGGGTTGTTAGGTAAGACACATATCAAAAAGTTAGTACTTTTTGTGAAACGTTTCGCCTACAAAGTAGGGTTCTTTAGTCAAGTACAGAAAAGTTGTAGAAACGAAGATCTTAAGACGATGTAACAGTCCTCCCCAAAAATTTTGAGGTGGCAATCCCCCTTGGAAAGGTATTGTTCCCAAATATGAAACAAATGAGAAGAAGGACGGATGGAGCTTTTATAGCGCCAAGAGGGGAGACGTAGCCCCCTAGGAAGGTAAAACTCCAATGTCGAGAAAGTCAGGTCCCCTCACAGGGGGAATTGTCGAAGTTGATTGCAGGTATGTCCAAATACCCTGTGTTGCAGTGCTGCAGATTTTAACATTAAAAAAGGTATAAAATCCGACGGTTGTTGGAAGACACATACAACAGTTGGGATCTTTTTTGTGAAACTTTGCCACACAGTACTTCTTCAGTCAAGTACAGAAAAATTGATAGAAGCAGAAGATACTTGAAGCGATGTAAAGCCACACCCTTAAAGTTTTGAGGTGGTCAGTCCTCTCGGGGAAGAGTATTTTTCCATGTAGAAACAATAGGGGAAGAAGTGACGGAGGACTTTTTTACGCCAAGAGGTGAGACGTACCCCCAAAAGGGGAGGTAAAACCAAATGTGAAAGTCGGTCCCTCTCAAAATCCAGCCCCTCTCACTAGTGGAAATTGGAAGTTGATTGCAGGTCTTACCCAAGATCCCCTTTTGGTTTCAGTGTCTACAATTGAACATTAAAATGGTAAAAATACCGACGGGTTGTTAGGTAAGACACATATGCAACTTAGGATCTTTTTGTGAAACTTTGCCTACACATAGGGTTCTTCGTCAAATACAGAAAAGTTGATAGAACAGAAGAACTGAAACGAGTAATCATCCCTCACCCTTAAGTTTTGAGGTGGGCAGTCCCTCAGTCTGGAGAAGATAATTTTTTCCTAGTATAAACAAAAGGGAAGAAATGCAGGGTGGGGCTTTATGCGCCAAGAGGGAACGTGCCCACTAGGGGAGGTAAAACCAAATGTGAGAAGTCAGGTCCCCCCCAAATCCCCGCCCCCTCCTAGTGGAAATTGTCGAAGTTGATTGCAGGGCTGACCCAAGAACCCTTTTTGCAGTGTCTGACAGATTGAAATTAAAAGGTAAAAATACCGACGGGTTTTTTAGGTAAACACATAAACATTAGGTTCTTTTTTTTGAAACGTTCGCCACACGTAGGGTTCTTCATCAAATCAAAATTGATGAACGAAGATCTTGAAGACGAGTAAACAGTCCATCACCCTTAAAAATTTTGAGGGGGTCTCCCCCAGTCTGGAAAGAGTATTGTTCCAAATGAAACAATAGGGGAAGAAGTGCAGGGTGGAGCTTTTATAGCGCCAAGAGGGAGACGTAGCCCACAGGGGGAGGTAAGAACTCAAAAGTCGAGAAGCAGGTCCCTTCAAATCCAGCCCCTCTCACTAGTGGAAGTTGTCGAAGTTGATTGCAGGTCTGTACCAAGATACCCTTGTGTTGCAGTGTCTGACAGATTGAACATTAAAATGGTATAAAATACCGACGGGTTGTTAGGTAAGACACATATGCAACAGTTAGGTATCTTTATTGTGAAACGTTTCGCCTACACAGTAGGCTTCTTCAGTCAAGTACAGAAAAGTTGATAGAAGCAGAAGATACTTGAAGACGATGTAATCAGTCCATCACCCTTAAAGTTTTGAGGTGGTCAGTCCCTCAGTCTGGAGAAGAGTATTGTTCCATAGTATGAAACAATATGGAGAAGAAGTGACAGGATGGAGCTTTTATAGCGCCAAGAGGTGAGACGTAGCCCACTAGGAGAGGTAAGAACTCAAATGTCGAGAAGTCAGGTCCCTCTCAAATCCAGCCCCTCTCACTAGTGGAAGTTGTCGAAGTTGATTGCAGGTCTGTACCAAGATACCCTTGTGTTGCAGTGTCTTGTAAATATTTACATTTACAGTATTTTCATTATTTTAATTTCATATAAGATTTTTGCATCATCTATAACAGTTATATAGCCTTCTTTATTTTATTAGTTGAAAAAATGGTTATAAATGACCATAATTTTTAAAGGGGTGGACCGGTAAGCCAGCGGAAGGCCTCGGTCAGATGACCAAAGCTCCAAAGGCGGGTCATCATCTGACTAAAACCCGCGTCAGGAAACACTTGTCTTGTTTCCTGACAAACCTTACCTAACCTAACCTCTTGATTTTATTCCTCCTGGAGACGAAGTAATAATACAATGGAACACTATAGTGCCCAAACATCCAACCTTCATATACACCTTCAGGCAAACCTTAGAGGAATTGATAAAATACTTCATTGTTAGTTTTGTAGTTTGGGAGAGTGAATTTTCGAATTAAGGCGAACATTGTTAAAAAGATCTGAAATCTTGAGATTGTATCCACATTTTGCGTGGGAGGAGGAGAGTCCCTGCGTGAACCTGGAGTGAACGGTAATGTATATGCGGCTCCTCGGCATACCTCAACCTTCAAAAACAACCACAACAACACTCAATATGTCTATTTCAGATCCCTTGATTAAAGAGCTGAAAGGTAGGTGCATAATCATATTTCGAGCACTACACTTGGTTAAAAGAAAGATTGGTAAGAGCGTAATGTAGAATATTATTCGTGTTTTAGAAATGAAGTTTTTGTTGTGGAGCTGTAATGCTAAAAATATCCCCTCCAATATTTAATTTTACGTGTCACTACAGTTTTCATCTTTTAAAAGAGATACATTCATGGCGGTGAGGGGCTCTTGATCCCTCCCTCCAATCTGATGTCCAATCTTTCATGACCTAAATTTTTTTTGTTACTCATTACCTTACTTTCTTTTTTTTATATATTTTTTTTTTAACTGGAGTATACCTGGAGAGGGTTTTGAGGGTCAACGCCCCCCGCGGCCCGGTCTGTGACCAGGCTTCATGGTGCATCAGGGCCTGATCAACCAGGCTGTTGCTGTTGGCTGCATGCAACCCGATGTACGAACCACAGCCTACCTTGTCAGGTACCGACTTTAACTGGAGTTTACCTGGAGAGAGTTCCGGAGGTCAACGCCCCCGCGGCCCGGTCTGTGACCAGGCCTCCTGGTGGATCAGAGCCTGATCAACCAGGCTGTTACTGTTGGCTGCACGCAAACCAACGTACGAGCCACAGCCCGGCTGGTCAGGAACCGACTTTAGGTGCTTGTCCAGTGCCAGCTTGAAGACTGCCAGGGGTCTGTTGGTAATCCCCCTTATGTATGCTGGGAGGCAGTTGAACAGTCTCGGGCCCCTGACACTTATTGTATGGTCTCTTAACGTGCTAGTGACACCCCTGCTTTTCATTGGGGGGATGTTGCATCGTCTGCCAAGTCTTTTGCTTTCGTAGTGAGTGATTTTCGTGTGCAAGTTCGGTACTAGTCCCTCTAGGATTTTCCAGGTGTATATAATCATGTATCTCTCCCGCCTGCATTCCAGGAAATACAGGTCAGGGGTCTATTGGTAATCTCTCTTATGTATGCTAGGAGGCAGGTGAACAGTCTTGGGCCCCTGACACTTATTGTGTTGTCTCTTATCATGCTAATGGCACCCCCGCTTTTCATTGCAGGCATGGTGCATCATCTTTTGCTTACATAGGGAGTGATTTTCGTGTGCAAGTTTGGTGCTAATCCCTGCAGGATTTTCGAAGTGTATATAATCATGTATCTCTCCTGCCTGTGTTCTAGGGAGTACAGGTTGAGGAACTTCAAGCATTCCCAGTAATTGAGGTGTTTTATCGCAGTTATGTGTGCCGTGAAGGTTCTCTGTACATTTTCTAGGTCAGCATTTTCACCTGCCCATTACAATTGTGACCAGGTGTGGACATATCAGTGGTTCATTACTTTGTAATTTGTTCATGACTGTAACCATGTATAGGAGTGAAGCTGATTCATTACCTCTGTAACTTGCCATGATTGTGACCAGATCTACCTGGAGTTCATTACCTTTGTAACTAGTTCATCTGTCGTAACTTTGGGGTCCAGTCACTGGACCCATTATGTACCTTTGTAATCTTTTGACTACCGCCCACAGGATGGGTATGGTGTGCATAATAAAGATATTAAACTAAAGTGTGTGTGTGTGTGTCTCAACAATCAATATTTGCACCAATAACTTATTACAGTTGTGATTGGGTGTGGAAGTGTGAATTGCTCATTACACTATAATTTGTTCATGATTGTAGCCATGTATAAACGTAAGTAACCATTCTTACAGAATTCATTACCTTTGTAACTTGTGAGCTCATTACCTTTGTACCTAGTTCAGCTATCAAAACTTTGGGGGCCCAGTCCCTGGACCCATTACGTACCTCTGTAATCTGTAAATACCTTTGTAACTTGTCATGATTGTGACCAGACTTACCTGGAGTTCATTACCTTTGTAAATTGTGAGTTCATTACCTCTGTAACTTGCTCAGCTATCAAAACTTTGGAGTCCAGTCCCTGGACCAATTATGTACCTCTGTAATCTTTTGACTACCGCCCACAGGATGGGTATGGGGTGCATAATAAACATATTAAACTAACTAACCTGAAAGGTGCTGTTAGTATGCAGAAATATTCCAGCCTAGATAGAACAAGCAACCTGAAGAGTGTCATCATGGGCTTGGTATCCCTAATTTTGAAGGTTCTTATTATCCATCCTGTCATTTTTCTAACAGATATGATTGATACAATGTTATGGTCCTTAAAGGTGAGATCCTCTGACATGATCACTCTCGGGTCCTTTACATTAGTTTTTCACTCTATTGTGTGGTTGGAATTTGTTTTATAATCCGATATAGTTTTAATTTCCTCATGGTTTCCATATTGGAGTAATTGAAATCTCTCATCATTGTACTTCATGTTGTTTTCTGCATCCCATTTAAAGATTTGGTTAATGTCCACCTGGAGTCTTGCGGTGTCTTCAGTGGAGGACACTGTCATGCAGATCTGGGTGTCATCTGCAAAGGAAGACATGGTGCTGTAAATTACATCCCTGTCTATGTCAGATATGAGGATGAGGAACAAGATGGGAGTGAGTACTGTGCCTTGTGAAACAGGGCTTTTCACTGTTGTCACCTCAGACTTTACTCTGTTTACTACTACTACAGTGGACCCCCGGTTAACGATATTTTTTCACTCCATAAGTATGTTCAGGTGCCAGTACTGACCGAATTTATTCCCATAAGGAATATTGTGAAGTAGATTAGTTCATTTCAGACCCCCAAACATACACGTACAAATACACTTACATAAATACACTTACATAATTGGTCGCATTCGGAGGTAATCGTTATGCGGGGGTCCACTGTATTTGTTTTCTATTTGTTAGGAAATTATCGGTATATCTATCAACTTTTCCTGTTATTCCTTTATCATGCATTTTGTGTGCTATTACACCATGGTCACACTTGTCAAAGGCTTTTGCAAAATCTGTGTATACTACATCTGCATTTTGTTTGTCTTCTAGAGCATCTAGGGCCTTGTCTTAGTGGTCCAGTAGTTGAGACAGACAGGAGCGACCTACTCTAAACCCATGTTGCCCTGGGTTGTGTAACTGATGGGTATCTAGATGGGTGGCAATCTTGCTTCTTAGAACCCTTTCAAAGATTTTTATAATATGGGATGTTAATGCTATTGGTCTGTAGTTCTTTGCTATTGCTTTACTGCCCCATTTGTGGAGTGGTGCTATGTCTGTTGTTTTTAGCAGCTGTGGGATGACCCCTGTGTTCATGCTCCCTTTCCATAGGATGTTAAAAGCACATGATAGGGGCTTCTTGCAGTTCTTGATGAACACTGAGTTCCATGAGTCTAGGCCTGGGGCACAGTGCATGGGCGTGTCATTTACCGCCTTTTCAAAGTAATTAGACATCAGGATAATATCAGATAGGTTCAAGTCTACCAAATTCTGTCTCTTTCTCTCATAAAAAATTCATGTAGGTCATCGACTCTCAGTCTGGTTAGCTGCTCGCTTAAAATCGATTCATATTGGGACTCGAGTAGCTCACTCATTTCGTTGCTGTCATCTGTGTAGGACCCATCTCATTTAAGTATGGGCCCAATACTGGCTGTTGTTCTCGACTTTGATTTGTCATAAGAAAAGAAATATTTTGGGTTTCTCTCAATTTCATCTATTGCTTTTAGTTCTTCCCATGTATCTTGGTTCCTGTAAGATTCCTTTAACTTCAGTTTGATGCTGGCTGTTTTTCTGACCAGTGTCTCCCTATGTATTACAGATATGTATACATGTATTGGTCTCTTTTAGCCGCTCTGTTATTGTTTGCCTTCGCTTGTGTAGGGAGCATCTTTCTCTTTGTAGTTTACATCTTCTCCTTTTCCTTAAAGGAATATGCCTTGAGCATACATCAAGTGCCACAGAGTTAATTTTTTCTAGACGAGTTTGGATCCGTGTTGCTTAGGCTGTCTTCCCAGTTTATATCACTTAGAGCCTGGTTTACTTGGTCCCACCTAGTTTTTGTTATTGAAGTTGAATTTGGTGAAGGCTCCCTCATGACTGATCACATTTTGTCGGTCTGGGGCCCAGCACATAAATGTCTGTACCTCTGTTATGTTGTAATCTGAGTATATGTATTGTTTTTGTTATGGTAATATTTCGTATGAGATCATCATTGTTAGTGAAGATGAGGTCCAGTTTATTCTCCAGTCTTGGCTCTATTATTTGCTGGTTTAAGGGAAATTTCGTGCAGAGATTTAAAAGCTCATGTGTGTGTGAGTTTTCATCTGAGCTGCCTCCTGATGTTATCTCTGCTACAACATTATTTGCTACATTCCTCCATTTTAGGTGCCTTAGGTTGAAATCCCCCAGGAGCAAGATGTTGGGGGCAGGAGCTTGAAGATTTTCCAGATAGTGATCAATTTTCAAAAGCTGTTCTTGGAATTGTTGGGAAGTTGCATCCAGAGGCTTGTATACAACCACAATGACCAAGTTTTGTTTCTCGATCTTTACTGCCAAAACTTCAACTACATCATTTGAGGCATTTTGTTCATTTGTAATTTCCATTTTTTACTCTTCCAGATTCGTCTACCAACCTTTGCAATTTCTCTTCAGGATCTTCCAAAAGCACAGTGTCATCTGCAAAAGGCAACTGTGACAAATCCCATTTTGTATTCTTTATCTTTTAAGGCCTTTGGCCTGGTAGGCAACATTCTTGTTTCACACACTGAGCATCTGTGGTTCAATCCCCGGCAGGGGTAGAAACATTGGGTGTGCTTCCTTACACCTGTTGTCCCATTCACCTAGCAAGCAAGTAGATACCTGGGTGTTAGTCGACTGGTGTGGGTCGCATCCTGGGGGACAAGATTGAGTACCCCAGTGGAAATGAGACAGACAGCCCCTTGATGATGCACTGCTTTTCTTGGGTTATCCTGGGAGGCTAACCTTCTAGGGTTAAAAATCCTAACAAAATCTTATCTTCTCACCTCTTCCAAACACACTTCTTTTAACCCTTTTAACCCTAAACTTGTTCTTATGGTTGGAAATTTAAAAAAAAAAAAAATTCTCATGAAATGATAGAGAATCTTTTCCCGATCATAATGACACCAAAAGTATGAAATTTGATGGAAAACTTACGGAAATATGCTCTCATAAAGTTAGTGGTCTCGACGATGTTTACGCATCGGCGGCTTCGCCCACTTTGAGCCCTATTTTCGGCCAGTTCCAATGTACCAATTCACAAAAATCATACCTATTTTGCTAGAACTCCATTTTTTCTATCGAATGAGTACAAGAAACCACCCATTTACCGATTTCAACTATCCAGTAACGTGGTCAGAAATTGGCAATTTTGCCAGTTTCACACAAATTTCAAAAGATGCCAATTTCCAAACAGGGTCCAGAATAAACAAGACAAACATTCCTGGCACTAAAATAACATTTCCTCTGTTCATTACTCACGTCCCCAGGCCTCTGTTACATTTCTTTTGCTTTCCAATTTGAATTTTTATTTTCACAAAAAATAGAAGATTTACTGTTATGCAGACTACTGCATTCGTGTAGAAATGGTGTAGAAATGATATAAATAATATCAACGCACTTGTGAAAGAATATTAGACTCGCCAGTTGACGCATATTGAATGCATGGCATGATTTGTTTACCTTTGAACTTTGGCAAAATTTGAACATTTCTGCTACTTTGAGCTCAATTTCAAGGTACTTTTCATTGTGAAACCAATCAAAATCATCTCAGTTTCCATAATGTCTTCCATTCTATAAAATGAAACCAGAAAAACTAGAATACAACCATAAATAGCATACGGAAATACATACACCGCAGTCTCTGTTTTAAACCAAAAACACGGTTGGAGTTTTTTTTCTCATTATGCACCAACCCTGAAAGGGTTAAATCCCATTTATAAATATTTTAAACAACCATGATGACATCACACATCAATATTTAAAGCCTACTTTTACTGGAACTGGAAAATAATTTCCCTCTCCTTTATGTTGTAACCTGATCCTCACTATCCTCATACACTATTTAGTTTAGTATCTTTATTATGCACCCCATGCCCATCCTGTGGGCTATAGTCAAAAGATTACAGAGGGACTGATAGCTGAACAAGTTGCAGTGGCGATGAACTGTTTCCACATTTATATCTCGTCACTCTCGTAATAAGTTATTTATACACACATGAATTAGGTCACATACTCAAACACAAAAAAGATATTATTTTACAATGGTAATAATTTATGTGGAATAGCCTCTAGTTCTGTAATACATTTTGGGCAGATTAAGTCTAACTGAGACCTAACCTAAAATTTCAGTGCAGTACTTCACATTGATTATTTCAAGGTTGCTTTATGACTGCTAAGATTGACATAGCTAGTTTGCCTGAGGATAAGATTATTAATACAGTGATAATTCAATGTAATAAAACTTTGTCTATTTGTAACACCAGTTTTATTGTGAGGGGAAGTAGCGCAAAAAGTACATATTGACATTTAAGGTGAAAGTGTTGAATGATGATGAAAATATTTTCTTTTTGGGGATTTTCTTTCTTTTTTGGGTAACCCTGCCTCAGTGGGAGACGGCCAACTTGTTAAAAAGAAAAATGCGCAAAATGTGGTGGACTTTTTTTTTTTTGGGGGGGGGGGGGGGTAGAAGATATTAATCTATACTGTACATTTTGTTGCAGGTCATATCCTTGAGGCAACTAAGGCAAGCTGTAATGGAGGAGTATTTGACACACAGCCATTTCTCCTTCCACTGTGTCAGGTGCTGGAAGTTATTTTTCGTAAAGGACTGAATAATGCTGTCCATCTGGCATTTGGCCTCACTAAACGGGATTACTGGTCATGGGTGGAGAGAACTGCTCAAACATCTGCTGGGTAATGTATTAAAACATTTCCTCAGTAAAGGCTGTTTTTATGGAGTAATGTTAAATACAATATTTAGTACTAATTATTTCATATTACATTGTACTTTATTGTCATTTCTTTGATGAAATCACAAAGGTTAAAATTTAGGATTTAAGTTTGAGAGATATATGAGCTCTGTAAGTGAGTTCCAGGTAAAGATGAATCATTGTTTGTCATCACCCTTCATTTGGTGATATTACCTGTCTACAAGTTACATAGTGATGATTTCCAATCTGTCTCATTGACTGCTGTCCATGTGTGGAGCTGGTAAAGAAATGAGGGTTTACTGCCTAAGGAGTGTCTGATTAAAAGTTCAATGGATACAGTGTGCATAATGTAGCATGGATAGTGTGCATATTGTATTCTAGTTGTGTTATGAAACCTTAAAACTGTTTTACCAGTTTCATGTTTGTAAGTGAAATACAAAATGGCACCCAACTTAACAGCAGAAAATGGAATGTTCAGTGAACATAAAATATTTGCTAACTCAGCTTTGTTTTCCAGTCTTAAGGGCACTTACAAGGCTACAGTGGAGGCTGTTGCCAGCAACCAGTGCGTGACAACACCACAAGGTCGTGGGCGGTTGTTCATCAGACATGCTCTTAAATCAAAGTGTCTTCATGTTCCAGTTGAAACTGTCGTAAGGACAAGCCTAGTTTTATGTTGTACCTTCCATATTCCTATGTGTATAGTATTTTGTTACCATTCTTATTCTGTTGTGTATATGTTATTGCCATATTTATGTACTGTACTTATTATTATTATTAGGTACAAAACCTTCAATTTACAATAGTGTAATGATTCTTGACATTTTTGTGTTTAAATTGAAAATAAATTGCCTAGTTTTTTTTTATTTTTCTTATTCTCTCTAAGGTACGCTTGAGATGCAATGATGGTATTTATGATGAAGATTCCATTATCGGCAATGAAATATTAGGGGAGATTTTCCTGAGCCTCCTCTACCAGTGCTCTCACATTAATTTTGAGTTAAAGCTTGAAAATGCATCTTTCCTGGATGAAACTTGGCAGCTGCCAATCTACCAAGAATATGAACTGGTTCCATGCATGGATTTAGGGGTTTATCTTGGGTAAGAAATATTTTATTAGCATAATGGGTATTTATATTTTTTCCTAGCAAATCCCTGTAATTGACTTTAAAAAATCAAAGATTTAATAATTGTATTGGTTTAAGTAAAAATATCTGTTAACTGTAAATACACTGATGCTGTACAGTAAAGTATTTCATAAACACAGGAAATTTAAAGTAATCCAAACATTAACACTTGAGCTGTATAACCAAATGCATGTGGTAAGGCTTGACAACAATAATAATTTTGTATCTGATATCTTAATTGAAGTCGGGCTATTGCACCATGTTTCTCCTAGTGCCAGTGCGAGAATTGTTGGGTTGTGCTGATACTTCAGCGTATCTTGATGTGCAGTTCATTAGAGAGCACTTTAGCTTCATTTTTGGTTTCTAATACTGTCATGCTTATTCTGTTGGCCTTCCCTTCAAAAAGACCTGCATTGAATGGGGCATTTTTTTTGCCCTTGTGCTCATCCTTCACATTTCTGTCATTTACCCTCCAAGATCAGCTACCACTTTGCTGTGCAGATCTGAATGACCTTCAGGTTTAGCACTTTCATAGAATATTATAATACTGCTAGTAGTATAGAGCTGTGTGGGAGATATAAATGTCTGTTTCCTACAGGAATCACACCATCAGCAAATTAGCATGTTTTTGATGAATAATAAAATAAGAGCAAAATAACCAAATTTGGAAAAAAATAGCATGATGCTCTTGTTGTACTGCAAAATTATGAAGCAAAATGTGAATGTGCTTCCTCTTTGGGTCACCCTGCCTCAGTGGGAGATGGCCATTATGCTAAAAAAAATAGTGCTTTATCTGACTACCTGTCAGTCAGAATTTAATTTAGTGTAACACCCTATCATTAAACAGATTAAGAGGCATGAAATAGGCACTTTTTACCTTCCATAGCCTACTAATCATTGAAATAGATGGAAAACTTTGGAAAAGGAATAGACTTCTAATTTGCTTCAAAAGACCACGTCTTGACGTCTTGACTGTCAACACCCCAAAAAATTAAAAGTCCTTTCTGCATTGGTATTTTTTCAAAAAATTAACTATTTTATCTCCTAAAATGGTTGAAAATCTTTTTCTGAAGATAATGGCATTAAAAAATGTAAAATTTGATAATTAGTGTATAGAATTACCTAGGCATGAAGTTGAAGGTTGGGGAGCACTTCACACAATGGCAGTTTCATCCACTCAAACTGACCCAGTTCTCAACTACAGTAATTTTGCTAGTTTGCCTTCTGTACCATCTAATGATTACAAGAAACTGACCATTCAATTACCAGAACTACCCTGATAAGCATGAGTAGTTAGCAATTTGGTCAGTTTTATTCTATTTTTAATAATTTTTTTTTTTCAACAAGTCGGCCGTCTCCCACCGAGGCAGGGTGACCCAAAAAGAAAGAAAATCCCCAAAAAGAAAATACTTTCATCATCATTCAGCACTTTCACCTCACTCACACATAATCACTGTTTTTGCAGAGGTGCTCAGAACACAACAGTTTAGAAGCATATACGTATAAAGATACACAACATATCCCTCCAAACTGCTAATATCCCAAAACCCCTCCTTTAGAGTGCAGGCATTGTACTTCCCATTTCCAGGACTCAAGTCCGGCTGTATAAAAATAACCGGTTTCCCTGAATCCCTTCACTAAATATTACCCTGCTCACACTCCAACAGATCGTCAGGTCCCAAATACCATTCGTCTCCATTCACTCCTATCGAACAAGCTCATGCACGCCTGCTGGAAGTCCAAGCCCCTCGCCCACAAAACCTCCCTTACCCCTTCCTTCAAACCTTTTCGAGGACGACCCCTACCCCGCCTTCCTGCTCCTACAGATTTAAATGCTCTCCATGTCATTCTACTTTGATCCATTCTCTCTAAATGACCAAACCACCTCTACAACCCCTCTTCAGCCCTCTGACTAATACTTTTATTAACTCCACACCTTCTCCTAATTTCCACACTCCAAATTTTCTGCATAATATTTACACCACACATTGCCCTTAGACAAGACATCTCCACTGCCTCCAACCGCCTCCTCACTGCTGCATTCACAACCCAAGCTTCACACCCATATAAGAGTGTTGGTATTACTATACTTTCATACATTCCCTTCTTTGCCTCCATAGATAACGTTTTTTGACTCCACATATACCTCAAGGCACCATTCACCTTTTTTCCTTCATCAATTCTATGATTAACCTCATTCTTTATAAATCCATCTGCTGACACGTCAACTCCCAAGTATCTGAAAACATTCACTTCTTCCATGCTCCTCCTTCCCAATTTGATATCCAATTTTTCTTTATCTAAATCATTTGATACCCTCATCACCTTACTCTTTTCTATGTTCACTTTCAACTTTCTACCTTTACACACACTCCCAAACTCATCCACTAACCTTTGCAATTTTTCTTTAGAATCTCCCATAAGCACAGTGTCATCAGCAAAAAGTAACTGTCAATTCCCATTTTGAATTTGATTCCCCATAATTTAATCCCACCCGTCTCCCGAACACCCTAGCATTCACTTCTTTTACAACCCCATGTATAAATATATTAAACAACCATGGTGACATTGCACATCCCTGTCTAAGACCTACTTTTACCGGGAAGTAGTCTCCCTCTCTTCTACACACCCTAACCTGAGCCTCACTATCCTCATAAAAACTCTTTACATCATTTAGTAACGTACCACCTATTCCATATACTTGCAACATCTGCCACATTGCTCCCCTATCCACTCTATCATATGCCTTTTCTAAATCCATAAATGCAATAAAAACTTCCCTACCTTTATCTAAATACTGTTCACATATATGCTTCAGTGTAAACACTTGATCTACACATCCCCTACACACTTTGAGACCTCCTTGCTCATCCACAATCCTACATTCTGTCTTACCTCTAATTCTTTCAATACTCAATAAACTTATTCCTCTATAATTTTTACAATCTCTTTTGTCCCCCTTCCCTTTATATAAAGGGACTATACATGCTCTCCACCAATCCCTAGGTACCTTCCCCCCTTTCATACATTTATTAAACAAAAGTACCAACCACTCCAACACTGTATCATCCCCTGCTTTTAACATTTTTGTCATGATCCCATCAGTTTCAGCTGCTTTACCCCCTTTCATTCTACATAATGCCTCACGTACCTCCCCCACACTTACATTCTGCTCTTCTTCACTCCTAAAAGATGGTATACCTCCCTGGCCAGTGCATGAAATTACCACCTCCCTTTCTTCCTCAACATTTAAAAGTTCCTCAAAATATTCTCGCCATCTACCTAATACCTCCCTCTCCCCATCTACTAACTCCCCTACTCTGTTTTTAACTGACAAATCCATATGTTCCCTATGCTTTCTTAACTTGTTTAACTCACTCCAAAATTTTTTCTTATTTTCATTAAAATTTCTTGACAGTACCTCTCCCACTCTATCATCTGCTCTCCTTTTGCACTCTCTCACCACTCTCTTCACCTTTCTTTTACTCTCCATATACTCTGCTCTTCTTATAACACTTCTGCTTTGTAAAAACCTCTCATAAGCTAACTTTTTCTCTTTTATCACACCCTTTACGTCATCATTCCACCAATCACTCCTCTTTCCTCCTGCCCCCACCCTCCTATAACCACAAACTTCTGCCCCACATTCTAATACTGCATTTTTGAAACTCATCCAACCCTCTTCAACCCCTCCACTACTCATCTTTGCACTAGCCCACCTTTCTGCCAATAGTCGCTTATATCTCACCCGAACTTCCTCCTCCCTTAGTTTATACACTTTCACTTCCCTCCTACTTGTTGTTGCCACCTTCCTCTTGTCCCATCTACCTCTTACTCTAACTGTAGCTACAACTAAATAATGATCTGATATATCAGTTGCCCCTCTATAAACATGTACATCCTGGAGCCTACCCATTAACCTTTTATCCACCGATACATAATCTAACAAACTACTTTCATTACATGCTACATCATACCTTGTATATTTATTTATCCTCTTTTTCATAAAATATGTATTACTTATTACCAAATCTCTTTCTACACATAGCTCAATTAAAGGCTTCCCATTTGCATTTACCCCTGGCACCCCAAATTTACCTACTACTCCCTCCACAACATTTTTACCCACTTTAGCATTGAAATCCCCAACCACAAGTACTCTCACACTTGGTTCAAAACTCCCCATGCATTCACTCATCATTTCCCAAAATCTCTCTCTCTCTCCTCTACACTTCTCTCTTCTCCAGGTGCATATACACTTACTATAACCCACTTTTCACATCCAACCTTTATTTTACTCCACATAATCCTTGAATTAATACATTTATAACTATTTTTATATTATTATTATTATACATGTATATTACATTTTATTTTGACATGATACATGTATGTACAAAGTAGTATAATAATTTTGTGTACATGCCCAAAACCCCTTTAGATGCATAGCATTTTGAGCAAACTTAAAATTAACGTAATATTAATAAGGTAATAACAGTACATATGGTCATTAGATGAGTTACAATGAATACAAGAGATGTGAGTATTCTTATTATTATTATTCTTATTATTATCATGGTATAATAATAATAATAATTTTTATTTGGACATGATACATAGTTGTACAAGGAATTATAGTAGATGGGTGTACATGCCAAAAGCCCCTTGTATGCAGAGCATTATGGGCAGGTTTAAGATTAACCCTTTGACTGTTTCGGTTGTATATATATGTCTTTCGAGGTACCGTGTTTGACATATATATACTCATAAATTCTAGCGGCTTCAAATCAAGCAGGAGAAAGCTGGTAGGCCCACATGTGAGAGAATGGGTCTGTGTCGTCAATGTGCACCATATAAAAAAATCCTGGAGCACGCAGTGCATAATGAGAAAAAACAACTCCAATCGTTTTTTTTAATTAAAATGCCGACTTTGTGGTCTATTTTCGTATAGTATTTATGGTTGTATTCTCGTTT